GAATGAAATCAGAGTTACCACCACTTCTACTTTTTATATACCGTAATTGTAAGTCCCGTTAGCTTTTCTTATTTTATAATTTATAATCAAACATTATAATAAACAACAGAAGTAAGCTACTGACAATGTTGAAAATCAATCCATAAGTTCTTTCAACCTTCTTATATCCGATATAAGCCATGTGGGGGAAGTTGAGACACTTCCTTAGTTACACAGTTAGTTATAATTTCAAAAAAGTACTCGGAAATTTTAATTAAATTTCCTTGAGTTGCTAAGTTGATAGAACTGTCCTTAATTAATACGCTAAATAAGAACACGATTTGTCAACGAATAGTTACGAATGTTGGAAAAGGCTTACGGTCATTCAGTTTTATCAAACACACAAGCCTACAAGTAGTACAAAGAGTTGAAAACGGTCGGGAGATCGACATCTCTCGCGAGTCCGGACGAATGATTTCGGCACATATTTTGCGTATAAAACGCTCAACTCGCTGTGGTAAAGCTGATTTTTTTCAAAAACAGTTCCGTAAACACAATAGAATTCCAATCCCACAATAGTGGAGAGCAGAATAACTGGCGGTGTTTGAAATGCAAGCAAGTAAAAAATCATCGGAATGGAAGGAAAAAATTCACGCCAAAGCCACTCAATAATCAATGTGATGACCACCGGCTTTTTTTTATATGCTTGGTTTTGTGCATCATGAATTTGTTCCAGAGTGACAGACGGTCAAAAAGAGGTTCTATTGGTCAAGTTATATTTTTAAAGGAATTGTGGAATAACAATGATAATGCACCATCGCATTGAGCCACGATTGTGATCGAATTTAAAGCCAAAAACACAATTAATCCCATCGGCCAACCACCATATTCACCAGATTTAGTTCGTGATTTTCCGTTTTTGTCGGTATAAGAATCCAAAGGATTGTAGTTGAGATTTAATTTTGAATATATTCATATAAATAAATTATATTGGAAAAAATAACGAACTTAAGGCCGCTTTCTCAATGTCTGATTAATAGAGTGACCGCTTAATAGAGCTTTCACTGTATTTTTTTTATTTATGAATAGTTTTTACTATCCTCTCTTCTAAATTGGCTCGAACTGGATACAGTGTGCTAAATTTTACTAAAATCGGTTATGTAGTTTAGGAGTACATCGCGGACAAACAACGTGACACCTAATTTTTATATATAAAAATAAGCTACTTCTTTTAAAAAATGGGTTGGCCGAAAAAAATCGAAAATTATTATTGAGGTTTTTCTAATCCTAATCTATCCTTTAAGATTAATTCATTTCAATTTCATAAAGACTTAAGTACCAGAAGAAGAGCTGCGGCTGTCAACAACACGCTACTCCCATGTGTCCCCAAATACGTGAATAAATTTTAAACGTGATTATGTCAATATAATAATTTTCAACAAATTCCGTAGCGGTAAAAAGGAGCATGTGACTACAGATCCAATTTTTTACAGACTACTTAAAAACTCCAATATCTCATACTTGAATAAAGGAACTTTCATTTTAAGCGTAAGTTTTTTCGGGATGTAAAAGCTGAATTTGGAGAACCTCAAAAATTGAACTTTTCAGTAAAACTCTCACTATTTACGTAAAATTATTGATTTCAAATCTATCTTACAAGAACGGCGCTGTAAACTAAAGAAAACTGTTGTTGTATTTGATTACAGCTGGTCTATCGCCTACTCGTCACGCTCAAAGCGAAGCGTGAAAGAAAAAAAGTATCAGCTCAACAATTGTAGTGACAACAAATGAGTACATTCTTATTATAAGCAAAATTTGATTAAATTCCCCTTTGCAAAAAAAATCTTCAAAAACCAATTTTTTCTTTATATAATCTCTTAATTTTTTTTTAGCGTTTCAGTTACATACATAATTGTTAAGACTACGATAAAAGGCATAATGGCATAGTTTTGAAAATCGATCAAGGCCATTTTCAAGACTAACAAAGCTTTTACTCCAAGGTAAAAAACATTTAAGATCAAATTTGACCCGAACAGGTTCATATAACACAGTACAACAGCCTTTTATTTAAAAGGTCATACATACGAACGCCAAATCCTTTGAAGGTTTTACTTTGAAGGTAATGTTCCACAGCGTAATCAGTGGGCGCAAACCGAATCGGATATTTTATGATTTATTTATGTTCGTGTGAAATTGGGATCATCACATGTTAAATAAGATGTGCTTGAAGCTGTTTATTTACGACGCCAAATGTTTGTCTAACGATTCTTAACATGGAATAAAATTTAATGCATTTTCTTGAAAATTGTCTGTTACCAATGGACTCACATACAGATTTTAAGTCTAATTGTCGAAAGCTTGTCCCATGTGGATCGTCCATCCACCGCTGTCAATGAGGGTAACATTGAAAAAGTTGAAGAAACAGTGCTTGATAATCGGAGTATTAGCATTACAGAGATAACAACTGATCTCAACCACATTACTTATACTATATATACTAGACTCGAACAAAAAAACCAAATAAGGTGTCACATTCTGGCATAATTGTGACTGGTTTTTGTCCTAAGCATGAAAGGGGAGCCAACGCTCAACCACGAAATAATTTCTTTTATTTGTTTTTTGTGCTTGCTTTTAGCAATCTGGATTTTTATCATGCCGAGTTGCTTGCATAGTTTACATATATGGACCTCTTCTGGTCAGATGTGAACTTGAGTTTAAATACACAAGAAAGGAAAGTAGAGGATCCATAAAATATCATCCACATTGTTATTAGATGATTTATTTTTCTTTGTTTTTGTTGTGGTTATAGTGAAGGTTCTTGGCAGAGTCCGTGAGTGCATCACAGTGTTTTTCGCTGTGAGCGAAACTCATACTGTATATCGTGACTATATCGCCATTTTTTGAGGTGCAAGATAAGTCCACAGTTTATTATCTATACTATAGCTTTTGTACCAGAAATTACCCATCTTTCAAATTTCAAGCCGTCATGTTTTTTTTTTTGTTTTTTTGCTTGTTCCGTATTGTTTGGTATTTCATCACGGAAGTACGTATGCCGGAAAGACATTTACAAATCGTTCAACTTTATTACGATTATTTCTTAAATTGAAAGCGTTCAAAATTCCCCATACCGGATCAATCAATAGATTTATCGAGAAAACACTTCGGTAAGCAGATAATTTCAAGTTTTGGGCTCGTCGATTTGTCACCAAGATCGTGTGACATGTGTGTATGATATACCGTTCCTTTTTTCTGTGGATATGATATGTAAACTCTAAAGTCTATGCGGACAATTCCGCCTTGATTCAGGTCTTGGAACAAAACATCACCCTTGTCAATCGCCAGTTACCGGTCGAAATGCTCGAATAAGTCATGGAAAATTGGACTTAACGAATGAACCATCTGAGATGTAGTCGCTTTCAACATTTGAAAGTGATAATCTTGAAACAATAAATGCCAAAGAATGTTATTTCGAATGATGATAATAAAAGAGATAATATTCAAAAGGTATATTCCACGAAAATCAAATGATAATTAACACTCCCCAATAAATTTGAAGTTTCAGTGTTTTTTTTTTTTTTTTTTTAAGTAGGAACCTCGAAATAGAACACCCTTTACAAGGTGCTTTCCAAAGTAAACAGAACTTTTTGAATCTAGCGCCCCCTGGCGGCGACATCTATATCTCGACTGGTGCGTTAGAATCTGCTATTTTTATTGATTTTCCAGTGAGAATTTCATGACATTTCATAGATTGGAAATGAAGTTATTGTGCTTTAAGTGTTGCGAAAAGAGCCGACAATAAATTTTGTTTTAAAATTGGTAAAATTTTTGCCGAAACGTTTCAAGTGATGAAACATGCTTATGGCGATGATTGCCTATCCCGTAGCAGAGTGCACGAGTGGTTTCAACGTTTTCAAAGTGGTCGTGAGGACCGTGGAGAAGTCAAAAGTGAAGATAATGCTGATTTGTTTTTATGATTCCAAGTTTATTGTCCACAAAGAATTTGTTCCACCCGGCCAAGACGTTAATGCGGTATTCTACCTTGGAGTTTTTTAGCGTTTAGTGCGCCGTATTCGAGTTGTTCGGACCGAATATCGCGAAGATGAAAGTTGGCGTTTGTTGCACGATAATACGCCGTCTCAACAAGCGACGCTTGTGAAAGATTATTTGACCAGAAATCACATTTTAATCATTAACCACTCCCAGTATTCACCTGATAAACGCACCGTGCGACTACTTCTATTTCGGAAAAATGCATTTGCCCATCAAAGGAAAGCGTTATGCAGACGTAGAGACCATTCAAAAGCTAAAACACTCGTTCGACATGCTTTTGGACCGTGCAAAAGTCTGTATTGAAGCAGAATGAGACTATTTTGATTGATTTTTCCGAAACAAAAAAAAATTGTTTTTGTTTTTTGTTTTAAAGTTATGTTTACTTTGGAATGAACCTAGTATATCGTTTCGAACTAATACGGCGGGTATGATTAAGAGTTTTACAGGGAGTTTTTTTGATAACAATGAATAACTGTACTCAGGAATGATTCCATTGGCAAGTCTTTTTAATACTCACAAGATAATTGTTTATAAATAAAAATTAGAATTTGGTTGAGGTAATATTAATAATAATTATTAATAATATCAGCATTTCCCATGGTTCATTGAATTCAATTTAGAAAATGTTTATATTCACGATATTTCGTTATGAAATTCAATTTATCGATAATACGCTCGGCACTAAGCATTATTGCATGTCTTTATGCCTGCTCACTCACGCAAACGAAATATTTCTAACAAACATGAACGCAAATCAMATTAAATTTTTGAGAGTTTKGGTAAATTTCATAACGGTATTAGTGCAATGTTATGTATTTTACACATTTTGCGCATAAGCTTCTTAATCTTTTATACGCATATAAAAGTGTATTAGTGCATACACACCAATGAAGTGCAATGTAATGAAATTAAATTTAAATTGTTTCCGCTCTTTTCTGCTTCTTCTTTTTATTGCATGTGGAACGCAGTAGCCCATATGGTAGTGGCGCAGCTAAAGCCGTGAGCGTCAGCGTGAATAGCCAAAATCGCAAAATTTTCCAACACTTTACGGTGAACAGGAGCACACACTGACACACGCAGTCACCCACTCGCAGCGGTGAAACTACTTTACTCACAACAACGCTATGAAGTCCACCTTGATTTGGTTATTGCTGGCCGGTGTTGGCGCCGTACTGCTGTTGGGCGACACTGTCGACGCCTGGAATCGACAGTTCTTCAATCGCTACTCTCGCAGCTGGCTGCGCAACAACGCTGATGGTGGCGTCGCCGGCGTTGTAACCGGCCTGGGCGGAAGTACCGGCAATGCGCAGCAAATTGACGACTTTAATGCACTCTTCGGCCTTGGCAACGATATGAGCGTGCATGGCAATGGCGGCCGTGTGACCACCAATGGCGGCAGCGTAGGCGGCAATAGAGGTGCTGGCGGTAGTGGTGGTAGTGCAGGTGTTGGTTACGCCACCTACGGCGCGGGCTATGATGTGGACACTGGCGGTTTTGGTGGTCAACAACAGGTGAGTTGCATACTACAATTTAATTTTGTCATCAAAGCAACAAAATACACCGCAATATCCGGTGTAGGGTTAATGTGAAAAAAGTCGCTTGAAAGTGGAAATGTTGAAAACTTTTGCGCAGCGCAATGAAAGTAATAAAAGTGGATTTTAAAAACTCTACGACATAAGTTCCAGCAACTTCCCACTTTTTTTTCGTTATGCAGCTTTCGCCACCAAACTTGTAAAGTGTTGCCATGGCTGGCCTGGTAGCAGCCAAGTGCTGAGGTTAAGAAGTTGCTCGCACAAAAGTCTTGTAAGAACTTAAGAACAAAGGCAAATGGAAATGAAAGAAATAACTAATTAAAAAAAAGGGGGTTTGCTGAAAGGTGAGGTGCTCCAGTTTGTGGGAAGGAGCTGCATTCGAGAAATGTTAATTGGATCTCATGTAAAATAATATTTTTGAAGTGAAAAAGTAGATGAKATTAAATCGGTTACCTAAAACATAAACTGACATAAATCTGACCCAATTTTGACTAACCGTAATTTTTGAAAAAWTTACAATTTCTGAAACAATTCTCACAACAAATTTTTAAATTACAGTTAAAAATAAGAAAGTGTCGATATTACTCGTCGCTGAGACTTAAATTTGAGGTTAGGTTTCATTGTCATACTCCTTGACGAAGACCCCAGTTTGAGAGTTGAAACACGATCTTCTAAAGTATCAAAAACGTAAGATGTATTTAGGAAGCGCTTGAGTCTAATACAAGTTTACTTCGTCGACTACTTTCCATTTAAGGGGTATTTTTTTTCAATTTTTTTTTCATTTTCTGTTCCCTAAGAGTGTAGAATTAACGTATCATCCCACTTTACCATTGGAAGGTTTCGAAAAAGGCCCAAAAATAATAATACGGCTCAACGTTCGGAGCGCTCGGAGTGCACACCTCAAACTTTAAACGCGTTTTTCTCAAACACACACTTTTTTAAACTGTTGGGCATGATTGCGGTCGAACTACTCATCCGATTTGTATAATTTTTTTTTTGCTTAATGTTCACAAAACGCCTGGCTGGCGTCCCTACTACATTCATAATTTTTATAAATTATTAACAATGTTATGACAAAATTTATGTAAAAAAACATAAAAATTAAAAAAAATATATATATATATTTAACAACATTTCTTCATGATTCCAAGAGCGAGAACGATAACCTCCAAACATGAGAAATCGTGTGAATCGAGTGAAAAAACACACCTCATTCACCAGGCCATTTCTCCGACAAATGTCATCAAAAAATTCCAAAAAAATTTGTTTATCCACTCCACGATATACCTCATGATATGTGAAAAAAGTTCTATAGTAAAATAAAAATTTCTATGAAAAACAAAAATTTCAAAAAAAACAGGTCAGATTAGCCTACTGACCGCTTAAAGCATTCACCCTCACAGACACGTCTAAGATATCTGAGTACAATTTTCTAGATATTTGAATTTTAGCCTTTTTTAAACATTTGTCGAAATTCACTTAAATAATACCTTTCTACATCAGAAAATATATTTTTAGTTTTCTTTTTTTATACAACATTCCAACCAATTAATGGAATTTTGCCATCATTTTTATTAACTTGTTACACTGTGAAAATTCTTGGTGAAACAGCTCTTTTCTGTTTTGAAAATTCAAAAATTTCGGCAATTTCTTCCTTCAAACTGTTCAACTGATGGTTCTTCTTTTTTCAAGTTAGCTAATAAAAATTATTCCATGCGAATCCCAAAATACATATAACATAAGATAACGGACTGTTGAGTTGACGAGTGAAATTATTCAAGAAGAAATTCCATTAAATTTTGTGTGCGGAATCAAATATCTGATGCCGGAACGTTCACAATTATGGAAAAGGCAWTAGRTGATAATTGTTTGAAGCGTGCAAATGTTTTTGATTGCTAAAAATTATTCAAAGAGGGTCGATAACGCGTTGATGACGAACCACTTCCGACGGCCATCAACATCAACGGAAGGTCAACACTGCAATCAAGTAAAGGAATTGGTRCTTGARAATCGACGATTACCAGTCAGAGGWCTTACTGGCATCTTTGGAATATCGGAGTGATCAGTRAAAACTATTTTGTAAGRTCATTTGGGCCTAAKAAAGGTGTAAGGAAAGCACSATTGATTCCAAAATCAYTTCATTATTTSGRAAAACAGTGTCGCGTTAACGTATGTRAAACAATGCTTTCCGAYATCATGAAAAGTATTACTGCTGGCGATGAATCTTGGATCTAAGCTTACGACCCGCAAACAGACGATCAATTGGTYCTATATTGTGGCAAAGRTGAGCCGAAACCGAAAAAATCACATCAAAGCAGGTCAAAATCAAGCGATAATTCACCGTTCACTAGATTTAACTTCGTGTGACATCTGGCTATTCAGCAAACTCAAACGACTGCTCCGGGGAAACCATTTTGAGTCTATTTAAGACATTAAACGTGAATCACTAAGCGCATTGAAGGCTATTCCGGAATTCGAACTAAAYAATTGTTTCGAGGATGGAAAAAACGTTGGCCCAAGCGTGTTGGCTTCAAAGGAGAGATACTTTGAAGGGGACGACATARATTTTGAAAAATGTTTAATAATTTTAAAATTTTGAACTTCAAATCTTACTACTTTTTGCTTATAGTATGTACATACATATGTTACTTCATTGCATTTCCATTGCCTTTTGGRAAATCAAATAATTTTAATTCAAACATTTCAAATGAATTTAATATCGGAATTGCATGTGGCAAGTTATCATAATATTGACCACCATTCATTGAATTCATTGAATTTCATTGCAAAAGTTAATTARTATGAGAGAAGACGCACAAGCAAGTCTGTTCAGTTGCACTAATAGTATAATATTTACTTATCGTTAGACTATATATAACTATAAGTACATATATATAGAAATATATCTGTATATACGTATATTTAATTGCTTTATTCAGCTGCACATTCAAGTTAAACAAAATGAAATTTGCAATCGATTTGTTTTCGAGAAATACTCACACATATAAATGCGTCGGCACATAATTCAATTAAAATRCATTTAATTTTGAAGTAATATGTGGGCTGTCGTTTGATTTCCAATTTGAGCTTATTGATATTTTATATTTTTTATAGTTACACGTTGTTGTTTTAGAWTGTGTCATTTCTGTTTTCTTTAGACTTTGGTGAATTCACAGTTTGGTAGCTCATCAAAAATAAGATTTAGAAATTCTATTTTTGCAAAAAAAAAACCGTAATAACCGTCTATTTATATTGAAAAGATGCAGCAATGAATATGGATTAAATATGAATAATTTTGGTTTCTTTTACTTTCTGAGCCATAAATAATTGTTTCAAAAAAAAAAAATATTTTGGACGATTTATAATTTTGTTTTATAAATTCTAGTCAAATTTTAGCAATTACCGTTACTTAAATATATGTATATGTTCGTCAATACTTCGGGAACTTATATAGAAGAGTGCAATCATTATTGAATGTAAACTGTGATCAAAACGCAAGTTAAATTTCTTCGAAGTAACCGAAGTAATAGCACTTTTGCTAATGCTTCTTTCAGTCCTCAAAACAGTCGGAATAGTTTGTTTTCCTGTAAATAGACCTTGTTCTATTTGATTTCTATCTCCAAAAACGCGCCAAACGGTGTCCCAGCAATGATCTTTTGAGTTTACTGTATAGCCACAAGGTGATTAAAGCCAAATCAGGCGTACGGTGATTACTAAACGATATGAGTCGAGYTTTTGGCAAAAAGTTGGAAAGAACAAATGCGGTATGGCAGTATGACATTATCGTGAAAAAGGAACCAATAGTTGTTCGGCCATATTTCTGGCCGTTTCAGATGAAAAGCTTGATGGAAAGGATGCCTAACATTCAAATAATATTTTTCTGTTGACTGTTTGGTCCGGCGGAAAGCTTAATTTTTAATCACATCTCTAAATTACCTTCAAGAAAATGTAACTCAATTGTAAACTAAATCGATTTTCGAGAGGCATAGAACTAAATACGGTTCCCAAGTAATAGAGCGCCAAACAGTACACAACATTACAGGTGTCAAAAAGAGTGTATGCTRCAGATCTTTATCTGGTGATCAAAATAGAGGTAATTTCTTCAATAGCTTTATTTTGACAGATCACACCTGAGTGGTGTTATTTTTATTCAGTATTTTTTGGCATTTCATTGTGAAAAGACTTACACCTGAACAACGTTTATAATTTTTACTTTATTACGAAAATTCACGTTCTGTAAAGAATGTGTTTCACGCGCTTCGCCTAACTTATGGTCAATACAATAGGTCTATTGAGCGCACCATTCGCAGCATCATCACTCATCTTGAGACCCAGCATTCATTCATTATTSGATAATATTCAAMSGAATARAYCAMGTSCAGCACWCAGTRARGAAAATATAGCAKCAGAACTGACGTATRGAACGACTTGGCGCATTTTGCRTYGACATCTTAAATTGAAAACGTATCAAATACACCTTGTGCAAGAACTGAACCACTCGACCTTTCTAAGCGCTATCGCTTCGCTCTATGGGCYCTTGAAAAGTTCCAAGAAGATCCTACGTTTTCGAGCCAAATTTTGTTGMACGATGAGATCCATTTTTGGCTCAATGGGTATGYAAATAAGAAAAATTACCGCATTTGTTACGAAGAGCAATCTGAAGAGAWTCAAAAGCTGTCATTTCATCCAGAAAAAACAACAGTTTGGGTGGTTTGGGTTCAGGTGGAATCAACACTTCTTCAAAAATGATGATGGTAAGAATGTAACCGTCAATGGCGACCGTYTGAAATTGAAGCTCGTGACAACGACGAGACTTRGTTTCAACAAGACGACGCCACTTCTCACATCAATCAATGGATTTATTGTAAGAACAATGCGGTGAGCAGGCAATTTCATGTTTTTGGCCTGTCGATAGACCACAAAGATCGTGTGATATTACACCATTAGACTCTTTCCTGTGGGAGTAATTAAAGTCTATGGTGTATGTGAACAATCCCACTTCGGTTCATACTTTCGAAGCAAAACGTCACACGCCAGTCAAAATGCTCGACGAGTAATCGAAAATTGAACAAGACGGATGGATCATTTGTGAAGAAGTCGTGGCCAACATTTGAAAGAGTTAATCTTCAAAAAAACAAAACAAAATGCTAAGGAATGTTCTTTCGAATGATAATAAACATTTCCCATTAAATTTTAAGCTTTTGTGTTTTTTTTTTAAGTAGCGAACCTGGAAATGCATCACCCATTAATAGAAAGTGGGAAGCTCGTGCTCTTTTCATTTCACTATAAAATATTCCATAAAATTAAAAGAAAACGACAGGCGCATTGAATGATAGTCACACGGGATAACTCCTTTAAGGAAGTATTCAAATCTGGAGTCCTGAATTTCGAGCGTTTTCGACATTTGTCAAAATAGTAACTGGTACTTTTACTATAAATTTATTATACAATTTTGTAATCAAGAGTACACAAAAAAATTATGAAATTTTGAACACAGATTCTTGTTTACTATAAATATCAATATCGTTAGAAGCAACAAGCCTGCGAAAATATTTAAAAATTTCATCSTGCGTTCATTGGTCCGGTAACCACAATTCCAAAATGGCCATAATCAATTAATCATAATTAAAACAAAAAATAAAATTAAAAAAATCGTTGTAAAGAGTTATTTTGGAATATCTAAACGTACGAAATATGAAAGGAATAAAATTTCGATTTTTTTTTTTTTTAATTTCTACCAGAATAAACTTATATGCCATTTTCACTTAAATTCAACAGATTTAAAGTAGAAACGCTTRTGTAGCAAGAAAAAAATAAATTTTGGAGTTTTTACTATTTTTTATAAGCTACTTGTATTTTATACCCAGTTAAGGGTATTCAGTACCCAAAAGTGYAGTTGCACTATTTTAGGCGTCATTTTATTGATTGCTTATTTATACCAATTAAGTATCGCTATGTATTTCATTCCTATAATTAAAGTGCAACCAGAAGTTGGTATTGTAAACTACCTTAGTTGYCCCACCCCACACTTACATAATCAATTTTATATATAAATATACACGTACAACCTCCGGCAATTCATTCTAAAACTTCACAGTGAGTTCGGCATTAATTGTTTACCAAAATGCGCGAATATGTACGTAAATGATGTACTTTTAATTAAATGCATTCATATTGCAARTATTAAATGTTTGCTTGCTGGCGCATCAGCCACAGCAAACAGCGACTGAGCAATGAAATTGCACATCACTCATACGCCATGCAGGACGCTGACAACTATGAACAGACAAGCTTTGCCRTTTTCACCACTTTCAACTTTGCTCCTGACATCCAACTCAATTAGTGGCACAAATGGCAAATGTGTRCTGCGTTTGTGAAGCTTGTGTGGGCGTGGAGGTTGTTGGCGTGGCGTGGCAAATTGAATTTTAATGCATGCATGGGAGCATGTACATATGGGTGATTGTGTGTGTTCAGACTATATATATTCATAAAGCGACGCGCATATTTATTTATAATATATGAAATAACCTTTACAGACATGCATATATGACTCTCTTTAGCAATACATACACACTCACACATAGTTCTCTTCCAGCAAACGGAGATATATGGCATCGTGGAACCGTTAATAGAGGATACGCCGTGCGTAGATCGCGCTTGTCAGGTCAATGATGATTGCTGTCCCACAGGTGTCTGCGTCAATACCTATGGTGGTAAGTACAACAAAAACAACAACAACACACACATACACACATGCACCTTTACATGTAAAAAATCACTTATATGTCGCGCGGGCGTTGACGATGTGTTAACATCCATGCATAGTAGCTAGTAGCTCTATGCCGAAAGGTCACCGCGTGCCGTACAATTTCAAAATTTACTTATACGCTTTTTTTTTAACGACATTTTTGTTTTTCTTTTAATAGAAGGTAAATGCATTTACGTTTATGGGCGTAAACGCGATCTCTGTCATCGCAATACGGACTGCGAGCTGGGCATGTCGTGTCTGAAGAGCGCAGCTGGTAATCTGATGTGTCAGCCGAGTGCATCTACGGCTCATCTATTGAATGCGGTTGGTGGTGGCATTGGCGCTGCTGGTGTTGGTGTTGGTGATGGTGGCAGCCTTGTCGGTGGTGGTGGTGGTGGCGGTGCCGGTAATAACGCTGTTGGCTTCAATGTTGGCGCAAATATGGCAACAGCTCCCAAGTTGACGTTGAATGCGAAGCAATTTGGCGAAGATTGTATATCGTCGAGCGATTGTAATGTGAGCAAGTAAGTGAAACATATATATATGTATGTGGGTGTGCTTATGTGCATTTATAGAAATATTATGGATATTATACTAGATGTTATTATTAAATATTACGTGTAATATTGGCTATAAAAGGCGAACGGGCAATTTTTTATGGAGGAAATAAGGCCATGGCTCCCATTTGACAATAAAATTCCAGCGAAAGTAGGTTAGGTTAGGTTAKTACTTGTTGCTCTTTTGGGATGTACAAAGGGTGGAAGGAGACAAAGAAATAATGGAATAGACGTCATTCACTCCGTTACTGCAGAAGCTAGCAATAAAAGTTACCAGTAATAGACCGAGTGCTTTTCATAAAGAATTAATTAGTAAAACAATTTTAAGTTATCTCTAAAAATAAAGTAGTACTTGTGTAACAACCAGGACAGCAGCAGAAATAACAATGCTGTGATTAACCACTTTTGATTGATTAAATTCTGAGGGCTGAGGTTAGGTTAAGTTTGATGGCTGGACCAGAGAACGCACTTGGGATACTATATGCAGTCCGTTTGTCTGTTTTTCATAAAAAAAAACTTCTTTTCTCTCTATTCGATCTTAAAATGCATTGTGGCCAATATAAATTTGCTCAGGTGTTTATTTTTTCGTCCCACCAGCTCTCAAGTGTTTAAGACTTGATCTTGCACTTGTGGGAAGTAAGGATCAAGAAGGAAGTGTTGAGATGTTTCCACCACGTCTTCCTCCGGCAAAGACTTTACTGGATGTCTGATGATCGATCTTGAGCAAAATCGGCGACAGCGCATAAACCCATCAAGCTCCAGCGAAGCACATCTATCCAGTAGAAGAACAAATAAGGAGAGAGGCACCGACCCGTTTCCAATATTTTGATAACGGCGCTATGGTGCCTTCCCTTACCAGATCGTCAGCTTTACAGTTACCCATGATTCCGTTGTGGCCTGACTAGTTTGAAGGACTCTAGAAGAGACTAAAATTGCAAAGAAACTCGTGAATGTTCAACAGGTGGCGCTCATCAGCATGGCGGTCCACTCCAACCATGGCACTTAGTAGCCTCCAACTTATTAACAGCACATTCAGGGCTGGTCGAAGAGTGCCTAACCTCGCTATCAACAGGAAACTGTAAAGATGCTGAGCCAGCAAGGAAAGGCACCGCATAACCGCTATGTCTGTGCAAAATAAGCATTTTGCTACTTTATAAGTTTGAACACAGAAGTTCTTCTTTCCTAAGACCCCACAATGGACTACATATATATCTTGGATCATCAGTCATCTAACCTATTCTAAACATCGGGAAAAAACTCGAAAGAAACATTTACTTAAGGCTGAGTACAAAACGAAGTTCAAAGTATATGAGTTAACACAAAAGACTGCTCATGGGCAAAATTGCGTTTTAAAATCGCTGCTGAATCGCAACAAATGGTGGATCACTTACGAATACTTCAAGCGAAAACGTTCGTGGCGCAAACGGTGGCAAGGCCAGGATTAGCAGTCGGAACGATTTTGCAAAGTTTTTCATGAGATTGGCAGTGCAATAATCTACTATGAACTGCCTCTTTACGGTCAAACTCTTTATTGCGACAGCCACTGTCAACAATTGGACCAGCGATAGCCGGGAAAATTCATCAAAGCGCCTGGATTATATATCATACAAAACAGAATCTTAAAGGAAGCCATGACTTTGTAATCAAAATTATTCGCAAAAATTTATAATGAGGGATATTTCCCAACCCATGGAAAGTCGAGCGATTGGATCTACTTCCTACACCAAAAAAGCCTCCGGAGGAACCTTCATCATAACGACCTCAGCACATGTTTGACACAATTGTCAAAGTGTACGAAAGCATCGTAAGAAACCATTTTGAGTTAGCAAAACCCGGCAGTATATCGGAAAGATAATATGGCTTTATGAAAACCTGGTCCATCATTGACACACTAAACAATGCCATTGACACTGCGAAATGCGCAGTAAGCGGCAAGCGATGAAAAGGTGGAACAAAAAACTATTGCGCGAGGGGGTGAAGAATGTATTCAACTCGACAAAGTGGGCAAACATAATCAAGGGGCTGTATGACATACGAGCACCTCAATATCTTATGAAAATGATTATGAGCTAGTTTGAAAACAGGCGACTATTTTTCGATACTGATGAAGGCACCAAGAGCTACTCTACCACCTAGAATACACTGCGGGAAAAGCGTATCAAATCCAGAATGCCTTATCAATATTGATGGCAACTAAAGGTAATGATATCGGTTGTGTTATAAGCGACTTCAATATGGATCCAGGCACATGGCATGGCAGTAAATCATATGCCAGACAAATAAGCACAGTGCACAGGCTGTCGTCAATAATATGTAGTTATCATTGTTTTCCGAACAATGTCAAATAATGCTGCTGAAGTAAGCCAGTATGATGCCCATTGACATCCAGGGTGACGAATATGAGCGGGTATACAAGTTATAACTCTGATAATTATCAGAGCCGTCTATAGTAGCCAAAGGGAGGAAAGAGTCAAGAGTTTAACAATACGGCAGCAGCGATGGCAAACCTCACTCAAAGCACGATGGAGCCACAGACTTATACAGACAGGCATTCGTAGATCGACAGATGGCATGGGGACCTGAATTGCCACCTAACCCAAATACTAGGTGGACATGGGTATTTTAGAAGCTACCTGTACATATTCCAAATTTTACGACACTCATGTGTCAGCCCACTGAATAGCTGGCAGCGAAGAGGCGCCTCAATCATAACAAAACTAAGCCATATATAGCAAATTAAGCATCCGTCAGTCCATGCCATAAGAAGACTCCCACAAAGTAATTATTAAGCAGTTGGTTCCGTGGAAAAGTCTGGAGTAGGAGAGAGTAGGTTAAATTTAGCAGATTGAAGTTCCGGCCTTCCGGCTTCCTCTACTTAAAAAAAAAAATAAAAATAAAGCAAACCTGGTCCTGTCCCTGGATTTCTTTTAGCTAGACCTTATATCTACCAATATTTATATAGAACACTATTTATTGGACAGATCCTGCTATCGCTAGCCCACACTGCCTAAATAGTCTGAGTTTAAATTATAATAACGTTCAAATTATTTTTATACTCTTACTACTAACTCATTTATTGCAATTTCTTTCAGGGGTCTATGCTGTCAACTACAACGCACCCACCATCGCATACGTCCACGCAAATTATGCGCTTACTTCCGGGATCCTTTCATGTGCATCGACATTATGCCAGCCGACGATGAGGTAAGCAAGTACTATTTGCCGTTTGTATGTGTGTGTGCGTATTTGTATGAAATAAAGAATGCACTCAATTGAAAGTGTAAGTGCTTGAGGAGCTTATGCAATGAATTAATTCAGTGCTTAAGTGAATTCATGAAGAATTGAGGTGAAATGTGCTGGGTGGTGGTGGTGAAATTGTCAAAGCGCATAAGCCACAGCAAAGCCCAGATAAACACAAGCAAGTGAACTTAGCGGCTTAAGTGCTTTGCAGCCACCTGAGATAGTTAGTAAGAACAAAAATAAATTATACACTCTGCGCCGGTAAGAAGCATGCACTTGCATTACGGTGCTTTAATGAGAAAAATTGAAGGGAAGGCAGTGATGATTTCCAGCACTAAAGCGAGCATTGACCCTGTAATGGCACTTTTGTGCCATTTCTGGTAGTTGGGTGAAAAACTAATTTGGATTTGAATTGAGTTTTTTTTTATAAGGTTAGGAAGCAAAACCAGATATTTTTTAAGGGGTCCGGATATGAGACCTTTGCTTATAATTAAATAAAATAAAAAGTAATCTTAAAGATTTCACAATGTGTGGTKATAAATTGTCAATAGAATATCTGTTGTCTGCTAAATTTGTAGTTTTTCTCCACCGACTCACCTACAACTTTCCTCKCTTTGCTTCACAGTTCATACTTTATTAACGAAGTGAAGAAAGCAAGGTTTTAGAATGTACGCTTTGATTTCGATGTTTCTCCATAATAAAAAAGGCGACTCTTACTTAGTAAAGCGAAAAAAGATGAGAGAACGCCAAACATTTTGTTTTGAAAGGCCAAGTTTTCAAGTTATGCTGAACATAAATGTCAAGCTCATGGGCTAACACAGTTATCCTTTCTATAGGTATTTATCTCCTAACCAACAAGATGTTAGTGCTTTGAAATATGGAGACATTAATGTCAGAGCCATGGGTTTACGTTGACATCGGATATTCTGTTTAACCTAAAACGCCATGTATAGTATAGTTGATAAACTATACTGACTATAAATGTCAAACCCGAGTGCTTACCTTGACAGCTTGTTTGACAGTTAGCCCTCTAGGAAATTATATATCTTCGAAAAAACACCTTGTAGATGTTAGTGACTTGAAGTGTCGACTGTTGGAGACATCTGGAGACATTGAAACTCCTTTAATAGATTTACTTTGATAGCTGGTTCGACAGTTAGCCTTTAAAGAACTTCTACATCGTCAAAAACAACATGCTGTGAATGTTACTGTCTTAAAACGTCGACTGAGACTTCGAAGTCCACTCAAGGGTTTACTTTGATAGCTGGCTTGACAGTTAGAATTATAGGAAATTGTATATCTTCAAAAATAACACCCTATAGACGTTATTGTCTTGAAATGCTCACTTTTAGAGAGATTCTAGTTCCATTCATGAGTTTACTTTGACAGCTGGTTTGATAGTTAGCTTTCTACAAAACTCGATATATTCAAAAACAACAACTTGAAATGTCGACAGTTAGAAACATCTTTACTTCGAGAGTTGGTTCGACAGTTACTTCTTTAGGAACTTCTATATCTTCAAAACAACACSCTGTATATCTCAACGCTTGAAATGTGGAAAGCTAGAGAAATGAAAAAATGTGAAAAGCTCGAAGATCAATTCCTGTTCACTATAATTCCAATAAAGTAAAATTCAAGTAAAAATTACTACAAACCCATGTAAAAGTCACACACCCTGTGCCGGTGTGCATAAATGTAGGATTTATGCACTGTAATCCAATCAGAAGAAAAACATGCGTCACAGCCGGTCCAATACAAGCAAAATTTAATGAAGCTATCCTTTCCGCTATTACTTCAATGCTTCAATGCACTCAAACTGATTGACGAAGCGTAGTCGGTGCTTGCCGAGTGTGTCAATTTCAAAATAACCTTTAATCAAGGATAATTTAAGCATTGAGAACACGCCAAAAAAAAGTAAGAGCGAGGAAACGATAAAACTTTACTTGACTGCTGAGTGCTGAAAGTTGCGAAAGAATTCAAATAAATTACAAAGTGTACTTCTTTATTTATATTGCAATGCATTGGTTTTTTTTATGCGTCTCTTTGTAGGAAGTGCGCGACTCACGTTTCCTATCCGCCTTCAGTCAGCGACGCATGTAATGAGGAGAAGTAAGTGGAAGAGGAAGCAGGAGGAGTAAGATGCAGAGGAAGCAAGAAGAGTAAGTTGAAGAGGAAGAAAGAGGAAAAAGAAGAAGGAAAGAAGAAGGAAAGAAGGAAGGCAGAGAAAGGTMGTAGAAGGAAGGAAGAAAAGGAGCAAAGTAGACAACACGCATGGATATGAAAACATTTACACACACATATAAACACCGATTAAATCATATATATACATACACACACCCATACAGAAATGTATACTTTCAGTCAGCGCGTGTGAAATTTAAACAGGACACACTCGAGCCGGCGCGATATGCAATGTAAACGGAGGCAATGAAGCAAACAATCATATTGAACTACGATTTTGAGAAGAAAACCAAAGACAAAAACAAAAAATTACAAGGAAACCCCAACAAGTTTTAAGATCACAACAACATATCAAGCAAAGTTAAACTTAAATTCTAAGAAAAACATAAATTAAAATTGAAAATATAAAAAAAATAAAAGCAAGCAAATTGAAAATATTGCAAAAATCAACATATCATTTATGCGCAGAATGCATTGAAAATTGTTTGCCGACTACAAAGTATAGAAGAAATTGTTAATGCTATTAGCACACATACACACATATTCAATGAATTATAAATGTATTAAAAATTGTATTATTGTAACCAACTATATACATTTACTCGAAGAGATCATACATATTTATTTATGTATGTAAGCACATATATATACATATACATACATATATGTTTTAATGTGCGCAATGCAATAAAAACAACAAACATAAACATTAAACTAGCAAAC